AAGGAAGATGTGATCCCAAACAAGACAGTATTAGGAGGCTAGACAAGGTAGGCTTGGTTGACATGCTGGACTGCAGAAATACCAAAAAGGGAAATAGCAGACAGGATCAGACACAGAGCCTGGCATCACCCTCAGTGGGTCTTGTTCAGTAAAAGACTTTGGCTGGGCAGTTTTGCAGGCCTAGCTCTGGGGCTGCAGTTCCTGGGCTATATTGGGGACAATCCTGTTCCATGGAGCCCCTAGCTGCAGTGCCATCCCTTCCCTTGCCCCCAGTGATTCTTCCATATCCTAGAGGGCAATGCCATCTCATCTAAAAGAAGCCAAGTCCTGTTTTGAGTTGGTTCATTTCTTTGAAATTTCCCTTAGGCCTTGCTTCTATCCAGAAGTCTTAAAAGCTCACTTTTGACTGCGACCTTGCCACAAGTAGAGGCTATTTCATGTCTCCTTCTCCTCTGCCATGTCTAGAAAAACAAATTAAAAACTCTGATCAAGGAGGTTGAAAGGCAACTTCAGGCTTTTCTGCATCCTCTTGAACAGAGTCAGCACAGTAAACAGACCACCTGAGGCTGAGAGAATTGAGGTTCTGTGATCAGTCCAAGGACGTTTGGACTGAAGGTAGGGGGAAAACTGTTGGGAAGAGCTTTTGACTCTAAGCTCAGATTCAGGGTGAGTTGATAATGAAAAAGTTAAATATTAGTAAGAAAATTATCAAATTATACCCTAAGCATTTTTCTTTAAAGAGGCTTGTTCTAAAAGAATGAACTGCTTTACTGGCTGATATGTTTGGGTTCCGCTGTTTTAATAGATTATTTTTTACAATAAAAGGGAGGACTAGCTTGCTTAACTATTTTAAATATGCCTGTGACTCCAGCCTTTTTGCTTTGCTCCATGTGACTATGGCAAACCACTTCCAGTAACTGTTTGAAAGTAGAATCTGGAAAACTAAAAGCATAAAGTAAAAACAAATGTTCAAAATGATTTATTTTAGCGGTAGGGGTAAAGGCTTGAAAGGCAGGGTGGGCAGAGGAAGGAAAAGAAAGTACAAAACTTCAAGGGAATTGATCAAATCAGTCCACTCCTTCAATGTCTTTTACCCTGACAATCTCTCCTACATCTCTTCTGTCATGCTCAGAATATGACCCTGAGGCCCAGTGAGATACTCACCTATCAGGCAAGGACAGTTCAGTTGTGTTGCCTAGATTCTGTTTATTGAGACAGGAAAAGAGACCATGACAGCTTTGGAAAGATTTTGAATACTAAGCAATAAGAAAATAAAGGAACTTCTTCTTAGCCTTCAGTTATCCAAACAACACAATTAACCAGACTCTTCTCCTCCCCTCTATTCCTTATGCATTCCAGCCAACTGAGGTCACAGTGGACTGGGATTCAGATGTATGTTTGCTAGATTTTTTTCCTGGCACTAATCTCATAGTATCTGAGTTATAAATTACGCTCATTAAATACCTTCTAGAGATTCAATTGAAAAAGAAAACAAAGTGCCTCCTACTTTTTTTCTGTGAAAATAGAGACCTTCTTATCTTAGTCCAAGTTAGGCCTGCTGTTTCAGAATGACTAAACTTGGAGGTAGCTCTCTACCCTTCCTTAAGATTACATCCATTGCAGTTTACATTAAATGGGCTTTGGGTGATAGATGTGTAATGAGCAAAGTTTATTAAAGTTACTTCCCAGGGACCCCCTTACATTTGAATTAGGCTTGAATAACCCAGGAGACTGGTCATCCTCAGAGGTACAGTCATTCACTAATTCTTTGCCCAGGTGGAACAATTTGTTGAACTGGAAAGAGCTTGTCCTTTGCCTCACCCAGGGAAGAGTCCAGCCTTTGTTCCTCTGTAGAAGAATGAAGAAACACTAAGACTGCCTTCTGCATCCTGGGCCCTTCATGAGATTGCTGTATGAATGATTCCAAGCCCCACAATATCACTGCACTTCACCGACAGCCATCAAATTGCTAAACTTCCCTGGATCACTGACCAGAGAAACACTATTCCATTTGTCAGTTTTGCCTAAGTAGCTATTGCCATTTATGAGAGTTTTTACACATTTAACAAAAAAGGGGGCATGTTAACATACAGGTAATCTTTAACTTACTGATGATATGTATCCGAAACATTTATACGTAAATGATTTGGAATTTGGAATCCAAATTCCATAGAAACTAGGTTATATATGTGGTGGTTAGGTTTCTAGGCTGGTCCGCAAAGGCTGATTTAGCCCACATGGAGCAGAGTTAATATTAAAGATCTGGCGGGGGTCCTAGGTTCTGAGAGCAGAAGGAAAAGTACGTTTTCTTCCAATCTTTGGGTCCAAGGAAACCAAAAGCAAAGATTTAAAAGTGGGGGGATCTAAACTGACTTTACACCCTCATCCTTGTTTCCACCCTTCTCTCATCTCCCAGGGATCCATGGCTCTTGTGTGGCTCCAAGCTTTCCACTGTAACCGTCCATTGTTCAAAACTTCCTTCCAACTTCCTCATTTCTCCTTGTCTCAATCAAAATGAAACTTCCAAGTCTTCCTGAATATCTAGCTCAGTTCATCTGCATTGTGATATGAGTGATTAATTGCCCCTTACCCTCCAAAAGGTACATTTTTTATTGAAAGAAGACACTTCTGAACTTCAAATGAACTGCAATTAGTGAAATTTTAGGGAAAGTAATCAGATGAAGTGATAATCTTTTGGAAGGTTTGGGAAGTGGTGGATATTTGGGGACATGGGGAAGAAGCTGCTAGGCAGACAGCAGGGCCCTGTCTGAGAGGCAGCCCCTGTTTGCCAAAGGTCTACCCCTTCTCACAGTATCTTTCTTTCCACCCTAACTCCACAGCACTTTCAAAAGATTTCAAGTTTTGCCCCAACAGTCCCCATGATGGTGGCAATGGGTGAGAGACATTCATGGGTGTGAGGAAAATGGAAGTTCCTATGGCCAGGATCCTCACCTGAACCTAAACTACTTGATGATGTGACTGGCCTACTGCTAGGCTACTGCTTCCATACCCATAGGCAATAAGTTATTACTGATAGAGTCACTATATAAAGAGCTCTGCCCAGGATTTGGTAGAGCAGGAGGTGGTGGATTACTGACCTGTGGACTGCTAGACGCAGATGTGATTCTAGTGCTCGACTTATCACCAGGAGAATAAAGCTGGGTATGAACCCTTTTACCCCAACGTTCCATTGTCATTTCTTGGTCTCACCAAATCCATAGTGAACTTGCCCAGGGCTGGAACCCACTGGCAAGACAATGGGTGTTATGGGTCTTTCATAAATAGGGGCTATGTCATGAAGAGTCAGTCTGAAAATTTACAAGAAGTTGGAAATATTCTGGAATAGGTGATGTTACTGGATGACATTGGCATAGGACATTAAATGAGAGATAAAGGAGATGTCTAGGAGCTCTTTGATTTAGGTCATGCTTTCTGAAATCTGTCAAGGGTGATCTTGAGGATTTTTGTGATTAGCACAGCCTATTAAGGCCATTGCGGTCAGCTAAGAAGCTGATTAAAGCACAGGTGCAAATTAAGTCACGATCAAATCAAATCCAGTTTGGGGCCAATTGGCATCAATCTGTTCCATTATACCCACAGCCCACAGAAGCTTGGCCTCTGTCAAGGGGTTCCAGATGAGTGAGTATAAATCACCTCAGCCACATCCATCCACAGTGCTAGGAAAGTGCTCCCAAGCACACAACCAGTGATGGTGAGTCAGCTGCAGTGTCTCCTGCTGCAAACTCCAGTACATTCCTAGGAATGGATAGGTTCTTGTACAGTGCCTCCAATGCCTACACCACACTGCCAAAGGGAAAACCCTACCAGAGACTGAGACTGATGGTTTTTCTGTGTGTTTCCTTCTCCACAAGAAGGAATGTTCCTAGAAATTGGAGGAATGTGTGTCCCAGCTGCTTATCTGCTTGTATTGGTCAATAGGGAAGAATAGGGCCAGGCCATATGTGGCAGAGGGTGGTGCAGAAGGCTATAAGGGAAGCAACATGCTCAGTACAGAAGCCTTTCTAAAGCATGAATGTTATGACTCAGAGAGAGTATCTGATAGTCACATAAATGAAGACACACTGGATTTTCTTAGGAGAGAAATAGTCATGAAAAGCTGAGAAAGTCAACAGAGGCTAATGGAAAAATAGCAAGTATATGGATGCCTTCAGTAGCTGCTGCTAGAATTGTGATTATTCTGGACCATGCTAAAAAACACAAGGGAGCAGGAGTGTGTGGAGATGCCCTAATGTTTACCTGAAGATCTTGTGATTTCCAAGGGTATGTGGAGAGAGTAATGGGTCTTAGGGCCTAAGTGTCCATGAAAGAGAGAATAAGAAAGCAAGATAAGGAAGATAATAAATACTAACAGGAGCCCAAGGAGGCACTAGGTTCCTCAGAGATAAATATGTGGGAAGAATTCTTGATAATTAGGCTGTTGTTGCTGCTTCAGAATCATACCACTCTAGGAGGGGAGGAGGGATAGCAGTCAAGGAGTAGTCTTATTTTGGTTGGCAATGCCAAGGGATTGGGCAGGACCTCCGGAGGAAATGATATAAGCATCCCTTCAGAGTCAGTCCTGCCAAAAGATCCTGGGAAAAGGGGGTCATCATAATATTGCTCATTTGCTTAGGTAGATGTGAGTCTCTAAAGACCTGGGGCAGCTTATTATGTGGCCCAGGTGCTGGGCAATGAAAGAAACAGGAGCACCTGCCTGATAACTGGATAATAAGGCTAGCCTTGTTAACATTCAAATGTGTTATCAGTACAGGAGGCAAGGGTCTCTCCTGCCAGGGCAACTGACCTTCCCCAGATGCAGATCACTCTGCAATGGCCTCCCCAGAAGGTTTTTGCACAACTCAGTGGAGCTTGGAAATTCACCAGCTCCATCACACTCTGCCAACAGTGTGTAGGCTGAGACTGGTACCCATGCCAAAGGGAGCCCCAGCTATTAAAAGTCTGGCAAGCTCTTGTGCTCTGCTTTCCTGCTCACCATTACCTTATGGCTTGTTTCTTACCAGCTGCCTTTCTGCTGTTCTTTGGAAGGCTGCGATCTCTACTGGTTGCCTGCCATGGCCCACTTGCCTGCAGGGCAGGGGAGACACAAAAATAGTAAAGACAGCATGGCAAGCAGGACATAGGAAGACTCAAATTAAGTGTGAACTCCACTTACCCATTTTTACCCACTGGTGGGGACACAGGAAGTGGCTTTGTGAAGCCTTTTTTTCCAACCAGCCAGAAGTTCTCTTCAGTGCCTTTGCCCTTATTATAGAAAATACAGGAAATCTTAAGCATGCTATATAACCAATTTTCCTAAAGAAGTCCTTCCAGTCAATAGGGTACAAGCATTACATTTGGCTCAGAAATTGCCTCTGCTTTCCCCTTGTCACTACTCCCTGGAGTCTTCTTTCCTACAGAGCTTCCTTGCCATATATACCTGAGGCTCAGGTAAGCTCCACAAGCTGCCACAGTAGCCAGATGAAAAGTGGACACCATTTCAAGCTGTCATGCAGATGTTTTGTCTACCCGCCACCATGCAGCTCCATCTTTGAGAATGTTTGGCTTCATAGCAACCAAACATCTGGATGCTCAGTTGAAGATTTTCTTTGTCATTTTTCCCCTGATCTTTTAGCACTAGGCAACCCATTTTCTTTTGTATCTAGAGTACATACTTTGAGAGTGTGCCTCCCCCAAACACCCCGCCATCCAACAGCTCTCACAAAGCCGAAAAAGGAAATAGAAATGGAAGACAGGCTGTGCAACTTTGTTTTCAAGCCCAGGGCATCATGGCTGCTTTGAGAGGTCTGCAGAGTTCTTTCCCTCCTGCCGAAGAATTCTTACAGGTAGAAAGAGACCTCAGGAACACCTCCATCTACTGCCCAGTTAGTTGTTTGTCAAGAGCCCTAAGTCTGAGAAGGGAAAGGGAGCATAAACTCAAGCTGGTCACCCCAGAGCCTGAGTGATGACCTCAGAGGAGACGAGTTTTCTGCGTTTTCTCTGCTCTCCCATCTTTCCTCTTCTCAATGTGTTTCTCTCTCATCCTTTTAATTCTCTTTGTCAGTCTTCTCATTTCCTCCAATCCATAAGAAAAAAAATGTGTTTACTAAGACTGAGAAAAGTAATGGGATGTGTTTCCAACCCATTAATCTCAAATATGGTCTCACCCTCGGCAGATCTCATTTGGAAGAGTTCTAAATTGTTTAACTTAGAAATTCCAATTAGGTTTGCCCCTTTAAATATCAAATCCACTGTTCTCTATTCTACATCACTATATATTTATCCCTTAACAATAATGACAACCATAATAATAATTAGCACATATAATTGAAGAATCGCAAAGCATTTTACAAGTATTTGGTTCAAGGCTCTGAACAAGTTCTCCATGACGCAAGTAGGAAGAGAATTACCACCACAGCAGCATAACCTCCATTAACTGACAACCAACTCACCCTAAACCTCAAATAGTTGGACTCTTTGGGGCCACTCTGTTTTCAGGAGAGGTGAACAACTTGAGACTTTACTCAAATCACTCATTCTTACATTTATTCCACCCTTGCTGTACCAGGGCTGGGAACACAGTGATAGCTATTTCTTTTTGTCACAGAACCTAGTGCAGCGTGTTCTGCAGAACAGTCAAGTAAATAATCAGATTGTTCCATTTACTGGAATTCTCAACCCTTGAGCACTTAGAACACTCAAGGTATCATTGGATCTCATTTTGGTAAAACATACTCTTAAAGCTCAACCTGGGAATGAAGATTTAATAATATGGGTAACTGTTGAGCCATTGTGTGGTATATTTGAAACCAATATAGGATTGTATATCAATGATACTTGAATTTAAAAAAAGAACTCAACCCTCAGCCATATTTGACTGTTTGTCTGGAGATCTAGAGTCTACCAAGACAACATGTCAATCCTCACAGGAGCTTTGTAGATGCCAGGATTTTCCAGATATTTGGGTGCATCCTGGGACACTCTGGAATGCCAAAACCTATGGTTGAAAAAGATGATGGGAGTGTCATGGACTCAGGCAAGCTTCCAAATCAGAGCATGTAGGGGAGCTCCAGGGGCTCTCTGAGGTTCTGGAGCCCATCCAGGAGAATTCTTAGAATCCTAGCTGTGTTTACCCACCCTACTTCCAAAATTCTTCTGAAGGGAGAGTGAGAGGTAAAACAAGCATGCAACAACTAAAGCCTAAAGCAAACTCCTTGATTCAGTATCAGTCCCTAGGCAGTCCCAGAGACCCTCCAAATAATTGCATCTTACTCTGGCCTGACACCTTTAAGACACTTTGGCATCTCCTGTCTTATTTAATTCTCACCAAAAGTCTGGAAAGTAGGTTCATTATTAACATCACTCTGCAAATAGAGACACTGAGGTTCATGGAGATTAAATGACTTGTCAATAAGCAGGCATAGCAGGGACTTATACCAACTCCTCACTAGAGTCCAAATTTTATGTGTTTTTTTACTATGACTTTGCTGCTTTATAAATTGAGATATGATTGACATACAACGTTATGTTAGTTTCAGGTGTGCATTATATTGGTTTCAGGTGTACACCATAGTTTGTATATATTGTGAAATTATCACCACAATAAATCTAGTTAACATCTTAGATGCCATATTTTAAATGCTCTTCCCTCCACACTGTTATAGCTTTTCTCACATGCTGGAATCAAGGGGCAGGTCTAGAGGCCAAAACACAACTGTTGAGAATTTTAAAGCTTGTGATTAATGAGTTGTCCGATAATCACAGGTCAGAAGAGGCCTGTATGTGGATAAATGGAAGCACAGAGAAGACAAAATTACTTGTCCAGTATCACACATTGACACATTGAGTCCTTGATGGGACAAGAATTACAGAGCAGACTTTATGACCTTCATGACTGTGTCAGCACCTCATTGTTTCTTAGCTCAATTACTGGTTTGTGTGTGTGTGTGTGTGTGTGTGTGTGTGTGCACATGCTTGCACATATTCATGCATGTGTGTGTCAGGGGTTGAGTGTAGGGGTGGAAGAAGTTGGGGAAAAGGGAGAAATCACAAACAAAGCAAGTCTACTGCTTAGAAGCCTGATACTCAAATGCTATTTAACCCTAGAATGCAGAGACAAGGTCAAAAAGTCTTCACCTCTGGCAAAGACAACATAAACTGGTTGAGAACAACCATTTGGGAAAGTCTTTTCAGAATGTAAATCTACCTAAGAGGCTCTGGTAAATACAACCAATGAACCTAGATATATACAAAGTCTCGGGCAAAGAACTTCAAATTTGTCTAGAAAATGGTAACTGAAACAGGACTCATATAGGAGAAGAGGTAATGAGATGAGTTATCACCAGACCATTAGGAAAGAAATATTTTAAAAAGCAGAATTTACCATTTAAGCACTGATGATTTGTCAGCAATATAGTACAGGAGGGGGTTGAAATGGCAGCAGGACAGCACCCCAGAGAGGCCTAGTCCTCCCCCAAGCTCATCTCTAAATGAATCCTCCCGCAAGCTGTCTCAGTTTCCTCATTGTGGTCCCTATCTTTGTACCACCCAGTTACTCACTGCTCTGTTTTCTTCGCTTATCCAATCCAATGCACATCTTTGATTCCACTAGGAGAAACAACTTGAAGTGTCATCACTACAATAAAGGAGATGGGATGGGGCAGGGGCCTGGGGGAGTTATTATTTTTACTGGATCCAATCTTTGAGCCCAAGAGAAGAGGCTCCGATGGAGGAATTTCAAACATCAGCCAGCTAGAACAGATGATGTCTTTAGCCATCATCTTTGACAGCACACCTGTCTAGCCATCAAATGTAGTCCTCCTGACCCATGTACTAGAGCGATTCTTGCTTTCCAGCAGCACAAAGTGGATGAGAGGTGGAAATCCTAAATCGGAATTTCTGAATTGTGCTGCTGATGTGGTCTTGTTGGGGATATACTGCATGCTCCCAAGGAACAAGGAATCCCCTGTCTCCCAGTAATACCCAGTACCTACCTCTGGTGGGGAGGTATACAGAGGCAGAAAAGATCTCCCCTCCTCTCCCTTCCTTTCTTTGGATCTTACTTCCTGTCCTCTTCCTTCTTCTCATTTCCCTTCCTTCCCCTTTCTTCTTTCTCAATATCTCCCTCTCAATCTCTTGTCCTCAGGAAGCCCCTGCCACCCCAATAACTAAGGTCTGAGCCTTAGGGGAAACCTCTCTCTACTTCTTCCTCCAACTTGCTAGAGCATGTTCCCAGATTCCCTGAGGTGGGGGACACCGTGACGCTGCAATGGGTCCTTTGGAAGGAGTCCTGTTTTTATACTTGAAACACCCAAAGAAGAGACTGCTCCTGACTGGACTTTGAGGGGCACTAAAAACCATGGGGGTGAGGGCATATTTTTCCTTTTCAGTTTCAAAAGTGGCATCTCTTCAGATCCTCAGCTTTTAAATGAGGGAACCTATGCCCAGCAGTACAGAGCGGAAAGTGCTTCAGGAAACCCAGCTGCCTTTGTCCTCCTCTGCTGAGAAATGACAGAATGTATAGAGGGATCACAAAAGCCTTGGGTGATTTGATTCACTGTCCAAGGAATATTTCCACCCACGTCATCTCACAGATCTTTCCACAGAGGTGGGAAAGGAACCTCTGTCCGCTTATAAATGCCTCATCCCACCTGCTGGGTGATATTAAGGTTCTTTTAGAGGGGACAAACTAGAACTAACTAGAAAAAAAATTGATCAACTAGAAGCAGGCCTTCTAACCTTTAACTTCTGAAATCCTTTTACATGTAAATTGCCACCATTTGGGGAAGGTATGCCAATGACAGAAACAAATTATGGACCACTCAGTGCCCAGGTTTTGCTCTGCCCAAGAATAATCACTGAGGAAATAATGTGCATGCACAATGGGATCATACAAAGGGTACTGATTGCCAAGTCAGGCTTCCTGGGTTTTGATCCTGCTATCAATTGACTGTGTGATCCTGACCAAATGACTTCACCACTCTGGACTTTGGTACTTCATCTAAAAATGAAGGAGTTAGATCAGATCTCTGGAATCTCTTACAACTGGTACAGCCAGGGGCTCTCGGGTCATCCAGGGGAAGGTGAAAAGAATCCAGTAGAAATAGAACATATTTTTTTTAAAGAAAAAGGAAAAGTGTTCTGACCCCAAATCCCAGATCAAGTGATAGTCCTAGCAGAAAGAAAAGGTGCTACAAATGTTTGTCCTTCATAGGAACTGACTTTATCCTTCCTAGTTCTTGCAGAAAGACATGAAGCCTCTCTGTAAACAAGGGTCAATGGTGTGGATGAAAAGTCAGAAAGGGTAGCTGCTGAGCCGGCAAATAGAGACCCAAACTCCTCCCCAGTACTGTAGCTTATTGAACAATGTCTGGCACTGCCGAAGAGTAAATAAAATGGAAGTTAGAAAATGTAAATAATAATGCAGCTCATTGGAAAGCCAAATTCCAGGCAATTTTTTAGGAGAGAAGGATGCAATTTGTAGTCTAAAAAATGCAGAAGGTGTTTTAACAATCCTCCTGACTGCAGCTGTAGTTTGAAGAAAAGAAAACCAAGGCAAAAGGAAATAGTCTTTTGGGAACTGCAGATGGAGCTGGAAATTCTGCCCAAATTATGGCTTAGTCTCAGACACCCAGGTAAATTTCAGCAGACCATGACCTCTCCAGAAGCAGGTGGGTACAAGTGGTTTCATTCAAATAACAAAAGGACATTATACCCTGAGCTCTGTCCTTCCTTGAAGCTCCACTTCATGGCCCTCATTCAGAGCTCGAAGAATTGTCACTGTGCTGTGACTGACACGAATGTGATAAACTGTAAAAGAAAGAGAGGCATGACTTTGGAGCCTTTGGGATAAAACTAATGAGAAAATATTAATGTAATAAATGCCCCCACTTCTAAATGAACTAGACCCTAAGCAAAGTCCCCAAGAGCGAGTTTTAGTTAGGGTTTCATGGGAGGATGGGGCGGGGAGTGCTGGTCTTCCTCACCAGGCCCAAATAAGGTGAGAGCTGTAGCACCTATCAGCCTCCTAGACACCATCTCAGAGGAAAGCCCATGCTAGAGAAAGGTATTAATTTAACTGAAGGGTTGAGGTGAAGAAACCAGTAACCACTACTGTGATCTCAACTGAAACATGACCTCTTCTGAGAGAAGTTAGCCTTGAGGAGCCTCTCTCACAGGCTGCTGCCAGGGTTGAACTCCCAAGGTTTACATCTCCTACTTAAGAGAAAAAAAGGGTGTCTTTTCCATATACATCCATAGTTCTATCTTTCAATATTGCTGTACTTAAAAAGAAACATCGGTTGGCCGACAGGCACATGAAAAGATGCTCCACATCGCTAATCATCAGAGAAATGCAAATTAAAACCACAATGAGATATCACCTCACACCAGTAAGGATGGCCAACATCCAAAAGACAAACAACAAATGCTGGGAAGGATGTGGAGAAAGGTGAACCCTCTTCACAGGTGGTGGGAATGTAAGCTAGTTCAACCATTGTGGAAAGCAGTACAGAGGTCCCTCAAAAAACTAGAAATAGAAATACCATTTGACCCAGGAATTCCACTCCTAGGAATTTACTCTAAGAATGCAACAGCCCAGATTCAAAAAGACACATGCACCCCTGTTTATCATAGCACTATTTGCAATAGCCAAGATATGGAAGCAACCTAAGTGTCCATTAGTAGATGAATGGATAAAGAAGAGGTGGTACATATACACAAGGGAATACTATTCAGCCATAAAAAGAAAACAAATCCTACCATTTACAACAACATGGATGGAGCTGGAAGGTATTATGCTCAGTGAAATAAGCTAAGTGGAGAAAGAGAAATACACAAGGGAATACTATTCAGCCATAAAAAGAAAACAAATCCTACCATTTACAACAACATGGATGGAGCCAGAGGTTATTATGCTCAGTGAAACAAGCCAGGTAGAGAAAGATAAGTACCACATGACTTCCCTCATTTGTGGAGTATAAAAACAAAGCAAAACTGAAGGAACAAAATAGCAGCAGACTCACAGACTCCAAGAAATGACTAGTGGTTACCAAATGGGGAGGGGTTGGGGAGTGTGCATGGGGAGGGAGAGGGGGATTAAGGGACACTATGACTCACAATTACAATATACATAGGTCTTCACAGAGAAGACAAGTAACATTTTACTACACTGATAGACAGTGACTGCAGTAGGTGGGGTGAGGACTTAATATTGGTGAATGTTGAAACCACAGTGGTGTTCATGTGAAACCTTCATAAGATTGTATATCAATAATACTTTAATAAAAAACAAAACAAAACAAAATGAAACATCAGTGGGAAATGTCCCAAGATTGCTGTCAACATCTTTTGGAACCTGTACATTTATAGCTGCCCTTTGAGTGAGTGCATCGAGCTGTGTACACACATGAACGTATTATTTTCCATTTAATGATCTTAACCTGGGATAAGAGCTCTACATAGGGAACTACAACTGAAAATTTTATTTAGAAATTAAGTGTAATTCTTTGGTGGAGAACAATCATTTATTAACTGAGGTAGGATTCTTGACCTTTCTGAAAACTGTCATTCTATGAAATAAGACCATGTTCAAGTTGAGTCTGAACAACAAGTCCCAGACTTATTCTCACACACAGTTGAGAAAGTAATTCTTTTAGAAGCTAAGTACAATCTAAACAGGAAGCCATGGCTGAAAAGAATTGCAAGAAATTTCTGCTATGTGTACTCATAGTGACTTTCTTTCTCTTGACACCTCAGTACTGTTTGTATCTTCATCACAAACTCATGGTCACCCAAAACCTCTGTTGAGAAAGGGCTGTCCCATTCCTAAACATCACATGTTCACCTGGTGTGTCCCTAGCCAGCCCTATTTGTGCCATTCCACTAGCATGGCTTGTCAGGGAGCCTTACACTAGTGGGGAGCACACAGCTGAAAAGCATGAGATAGCTCATTCCAGCCACCATCCAATTGTGTGGCAAGGAGGACCCTCCAGGGCTGGGTCACTTGTCACTTCCCTTAGATTCAACAGGGCACAAAGGACATACTCATGAAATTGATTTTTTGATAGACCTGTGACATGTACTGGTCTCATGTCCACCATGAAGCCACCTCTTTACATATTGTCAATCAGGTGTGGAGTTTAAAGCCACATTTTAGCAATAGTCATTAGCTTCTAGAAACATGTTAGTGCACACTAAAAGCTCCTTTTAGTGCACAGACCACATGTGTATGATTCTTTGTATCCCTCACAATGTCTTCCTTGTGCTTATGTAATCAGTGCTTAATAAACACCTGCTGTGCATGATTCACTCAGTTTTCTTCTTCCTATCTGATCCCTGGACAAGGTGCTGCCTGATTCTGAAAATTCAATTTCTTCTCTCAGCTATTTCCAATGTGAAATGTTTAGAGTTTCCCTGGTGGAGACCAGAATATGACTTTGGTCTTCTACAAGCTCCCGTCAGCCCAGAGTACTGTGCCAACTCTGCATGGCGGTTCCATTATCAATTTCACTTCCTCTTGCATTGCACTTCAAGAGCAAAGTCATATGCATGCCGCAGTTCCTGGATGACTACTTCCATGGCCGCTGCTGTGTCTGTAGAGTTTGAAGACTTTCCCAGATGTCAGAAAATTTATTCTAACAACAGCTTCTAAGTTCTGTGCTCCTCCTTAATCATGGTTGCACAGGCTAGATTGACTAAGACTGGACCCATTGTGCAAGCCTGTTTCTGCACATGAGTGATGAGGACTGGGGTCAGACAGGGCACCACCCACTGTGATATAGGCCACCATATCATCAGGGACTAGTTTGTGTATGTTGTTGAAGTCTGCAAATACCTTTTCTTGCCTAGTAGCTGCCAGATCCAGGACTGCTACAGGCTTACCTGTTTTTTTTTTTTAAGTAGAAAAATCCATGAAAACTGCATATAGAACCTATTGTTCTTTATGCTTTTCCCATACTAGCATGGACAAATCACTTTGTTCAACCATGATATAGGTAGGTCACCTTGTGATGTTGCCATTGCCTTAGTAGTGGCACTAAATAACCAAGAAAGAGGTGCCAGCAACAAAAAAAAAAAATGGCATAATGGTTTATACAGTTTTCTTCTCAAAGAAGGGGAGAATAAATGATATCTTTGATTCCATGCCTGTTTTGATAGAAGTTAAGGGTTTTATATACAGGCAAGTTGGAATTAATTATTTCAGAATTACAAGCTCCTTGGTTTGAGGGATTATTGCAACTAAATTCTAGGGGGCTAATTGATGAACCCAGAACTCTTGGGGTCCTAACTAGTTCAAAAAGAAGACTAAAGCAGCAAATAGCATCCAGGCTGGGAGGCAGCTGGCTCTGGGTTTATTTCCATAAACTAGTTGTAAACCTAAAAATGTCAGTCCCCTACCTATTTATTTTTTCAACATGATTACCCCCAAACCCACTAGGCTGGCCAATTTTTTCCTTTATCCAAAGGATTTTTTTTAGTTGTTTTGATCAAATCAACTGGCTGTTTCAGTGTCACTTAGCTAACAGCTTCATTCTAGAACAAGAAAGTTACGTGTTCAATCCAACATCACCCCCTACTGGTTTGCCATTAGAGACCAAGAGATATGTGTGTTAAATCTCTTTATCTTCTCAAATTATCTTTTATTTTCTTTTAAAACATTAAAACATCATGTACCCTGTTATTTTTCCCTTCCCTTGAGGAACAATCACCTTCTCAACACCAGAAGGTGACCATCCCATCTATCCCTCTGTAGGTACTCATGTACCCTGTTCATTGTATCTGAGAAGCTGTGTTCACAGTGTCTCCAAACAGTATCTAGGCATAGTGAGGCTCACCACTCCAGCAACAACGGACCGTATAGAGTAGCAGGTGGTGTGATTGCAGTCAACAGGTATGCTTCTGATCCTAATTAGAAGAACACTGCCAGGGGAAGGAATGTAACTACACAAAAGAATAATGCTGACACCAAATAGCCCTGGGAATCTGAAGGATGTCTTATAATGAGTAATGAACTCTTTGCCCTACAAGAAAGCAAGTTTATAATGATGCAGACATGACTCCCTTCTGATTTATACCTCTATTCCAAGTAACAGCTACACCCAAATGTTTCTATCTGTCAACAGGGACAGATAAGCATTAAACCCAAACCAGAAGGGCCTGGGCAGGGACTCAGTATCCAAGCACAATTGTCGCAAGGAAAAATGTGACTTCTTTGTTGTTCCTTAGGTTTGGAAGGAGGGATCACATAGAGCTATCTGTCCCCCAGACTGTGTCTATCAAGAGAACTATTGTTAACACAGTCGGAACATCTGAAAAGAAGTAGAATTGACTTTCGATCATTTGTGTTAAGGACATGGAAGAACAGTAGCTATAGATCACCCAAGAATATTTTCTATTTGCTCTCAGAATGGCTTTTATTGTTACATTTCACTATGCTGTGTTAGGTGTTCAGAGTGGACATTACTTGAAAAAATCTTCAGCAGCCATAGTGAAAACAGAGTTCAGGAGTGTCAAGAAAGTTCTCCACCTTTACCTTTCTGGTCTCTGCTCTATTTCTATCTGAAAAAATGTTCAGCATTATCTTTTTGCTATTTCCTGAGTTAGAGAAAGTAACTGTTTTTGCTTTAAAAAAGTTTTTTCTGAAGCTTAATTTTTAAGAATCAAAATACATAAGAGCTACAAAACATATGGTTCTCTTTTTAATTCATTTCTCACCCATTCAGAAGCATTCATTGAGCACTGAGCTAAGTTCCAAGAGGAATAAAAAAACATGGTCTCAGTTCTCCAGCAGTTTATGGTCTAATTGAAGAGATTACCAAACAGGAAGCAATTAAGCAACAACTCAAGACAATGGACGGTTGAGTTGAGATAAATGCTACTGGCAGAAATACTATAATAGTTTAGAAAATGGAGGAGGGGTTGCTTATTAGGACCTGGTTCAGTCAAGAAGGATCCCATGGAGAAGGTAAGATTTCATTTAGATCTTGATAGGTGTGTAGGATTTGAATAGGAGAAAAGGGACACAAATCAAAGGTTTGTGGTTGGGATTGAGCATGGAACTGGAGGAAAGTCTTAGAGAAAGCAGTCTGCCTAGTATAGGTGGCTAAGGAGAAACTGGAGACAAGGGTGGATATTGGGTTGTACAAGATGGAGGACCTTGAACCACTAGAGAATTTTGACCAGCGAACTACATGATGAAATAAATATTCTTTTCATTTTCTCAAGCCAGTGTATAGAATGCACTGAAAGGGGAGAAAGTAAAACCTGTTAGGTGACTGTTTCCCTAATCTAAGCACAAAGTTGTGTGGTCTAGAAAGGAGGTGATGATCTGGAGGGGGAGCACACAAAGGGGAGATAAAAGAGCACCATCATACCCTAAGAATGCAGCAGCCCAGTTTGAAAAAGACATATGCACCCCTATGTTTATCACAGTACTATTTACAATAACCAAGAAATGGAAGCAACCTCAGTGTCCATCAGTAGATGAATGGATAAAGAAGATGTGGTACATATACGCAATGGAATATTATTCAGCCATAAGAAGAAAACAAATCCTACCATTTGCAACAACATGGATGGAGCTAGAGGGTATTATGCTCAGTGAAATAAACCAGGTGGAAAAAGACAAGTATCAAATGATTTCACTCATCTGTGGAGTATAAGAACAAAGCAAAAACTGAAGGAACAAAACAGCAGTAGACTCACAGAACCCAAGAATGGACTAACCGTTACCAAAGGGAAAGGGACTGGGGAGGGTGGGTGGGAAGGGAGGGACAAGGGAGAAAAGGGGCATTATGATTAGCACACATAATGTAGGAGGCGGGGGGCATGGGGAGGGCAGTAGAACACAGAGAAGACAAGTGGCGATTCTATAGCATCTTACTACGCTCATGGACAGTGACCATAATGGGGTATGTGGGGGGGACTTGATAATGGGGGGAGTCTAGTAACCATAATGTTGCTCATGTAATTGTAGATTAAATGATACCAAAATAAATAAATAAAAATGAAAAAAATGAAAAAATAAAAAGAGCAACATCATGAAAAGAGAACCAATAGACTTGTTGGCTGTCTGATTGACAACCATGAGGAAATTGGCATGGGTTTATGAGCTGATGCTGGTTTGCAGGAAAAGATGACTTGAAGTTTTAGATAACTTGAATTTGAAGTAATGGTGAAGCATACAAGAACATATATGCTTAGAGAGGTTGGAGATACAAAACTGAAGCACACATAGAGATTGGGGCTTTTCTTTAAAAAGAACACCAGCTGTGTGCTAATTATTTGGGATACAAACATGAGTAAGATATGGTTCCTGCCATCAAGGAGCTTAGAGTCTAATGAAAGGACAAAAAAGCAAACACAGGTTATGCTGGTGACTATGAGAAGGCTGGATAGAAAGAAACAAGAGTAGCAGCAAGAAGATTGTTAGTGCAATAATCCAAGCCAGAGATGCTGGTGGCCTAGATTCAAGGAGAGCCAAGAAGAGACAAGAGAGATTCAAGAAATCCTTAAAATGTAAATTATTCAAGACTTAGTAACTGGTTGAATGGTGAAGGTCAGGATGAGGGAAGATTCAAGGAGGATGACCCCCAAGATTAAGTGGAATAACTAGGCAAGTGATGGTACCAACTAAAGTAGAAAAAAATAAAAAGGAGGAGGAGGAAGTTTATGTGTGGGAAGAAAATAATTCTGTTTGGATGTGTTGAGTCTGAGGTCCATGTGGAACATTCAGGTGGACATGTCAGCAGCAAGTATGATATACAAGGCTGAAGCTTAAGGAAGAAGATATGCGCTGACATTGTGGAGTTGGAAGTCATCAACATACAAGTGGTAGTTAAACCATAGACGTGAATGAGATCACCCAGAAGAGTATACCAAGGGAGAAAAACAGTGGATGAAGGACAGAACCCTGGGGAATATCAGATTCAGGGTCAGATAGAGACAGAAGAGATTGTCAGACAGTGGTAGACAATGAAAGCGAGGTTGGAGTGGGTTGAGAAATGAATTCGAGGTCAGAATGTGCAGAGAGCATCAAGACCACAACTCAAAGCTTTGCAGAAAATGTTTGAGCAGCCACAGCTGTAGAATAGGAATTCCTAACTGAGCCAGTAAATGAAGTGGCAAAGAAGCATTCAGAGAGTGAGAAGCATGTCCCTCAGAAACTAACTGAGGGAGGATTGTCAAGAGTATCAAATGTTGCAGAGAGAAGGGCAAATGAGGACTGGGAAAAGTTTTGAGGGCTGAAGCCAGATTGCAAAGGGGCTGAAGAGGAAGTGGGCAGTGAAGAAATGGCACAGTCAGCATCAATCATTCTTCTAACAAATGTGGTAGGAAAGGGATGAAAAGGAAAGAAAAGGAGCCTAGGAAAGCAAAGCAAAGATAAAGAGGAGGGGAGAGGAGAGGGAAGCAAGAGGGGCTAGTAGGTGAGATATTTGTGACATCAAGTGAGATACCTCTCAAGATACCTGTGAATGTGTGAAGATAGATGGGAAAGCTACAAAGAAGGGGAGATCCTGAAGATATTCAAGCAAGTGGGGAGTAGTGTAGGGAAAAAATACTTCAGGAGCTGAGATTTCAACTAATTAAATTACCCTAATTACAATATATTCATGTTGATCTTGTATCATAGTCAAACACAGAAATGTTGGCTTTAAAAAGAAAGGTAGACTGAAAGAGCTTAGTACCTAGCATAAGGTCTGCTGCCTACCAGAGGAGTGCAGGTGGTAGGAACAGAGTAAACTTGGGTAGGCATAGAAGAAATATGCACCCTGGACACTTGGCTATCCAGCCAACAGTAATCAGACACCTGCTACTCTCTTCCTACTTTTCTAGTCTTCTCTTGAGGCCCATGGGAATGTCTTCTCTTACTTCAGCTGGTTGCTGTTACCTAAGAACAGGCCTATTGGTACCCTGACTGGCACCTCTGGCATGTGCCACATCTTGAAGGTACCCACGGAGCTCAGGATATCTAGGGACATGATTGCAATCTCAGCTGCATGCCTACTGCCATTCCTCTTTGGGATGCCTGAGGCCACCATTTGAGCACCACCAATGGTCTCTACCTGGGAATCAAGGGAAATAGAATTAACAGGCACATAATTTATTTGCATGTGTGTGTGTGCATGTGCATATTTCCACAGAGCTTAAGAGATGTGATGGCAGCCAGCTATTCTTCTTGTAAAGTGAGGAAAACAGAGAGAGGCTATGGGTGATTCACAGGCCTGGCTGCACATAAGAATCACTTAAGGAGCTTTGTTTTTTAAAAATTCTGATGTCTAGATTCCACATCCATAGATTCTGTAATAAATGCAACTGCTTTGCAGGTAGTATAGAACTATCAGCCTCCAAGTAATTCCCGGAGGAAGGGAGAGGGGAGATTTCTGGGACAGATGCCCACGCAGGAGCACCCTGGGGAACAGTGCGTATGATGCTGCCTGCAAGCATTTCTTTTACTTTTCTTTAACTTAGTGTATTCTTTCCTAGATGTGTGTGTGTGTGTGTGTGTGTGTGTGTGTGTATTTACTGAAGCATAGTTCATATACAATATTATATTGTTTTCAGGTATACAACATAGTGATTTGACAATTATATACATTATTAGATGCTGACTCGAACTAGTATAGTTACTGTCAACATAGAAAGATGTTACGGAATTATTGACTATATTCTGTATGCTGCACTTTCATCCCCATGACTAATTTATATTGTGATTGAGATTTTTGTGCCCCTTTATCCCCTTCACCTATTTCACCTATCCCAACCCCTCCTCCATGGTAAACACTAGTCACTTCTCGGTGTCTATGAGTCTACTGCTGTTTTGTTCATTTTGTTTTTTATATTCCACATATAAGTGAAATCATATGGTATTTGTCTTTTTGTGCCTGGCTTATTTCACTTAGCATGATACCCTCTAGATCCATCCATGTTGTTGCAAATAGCAAGAATTTCTTTAGCTGATTTCAGGTAAATGAGCTAGGGCAGCCTCAAGGCCAGAAAGGAAGGAGGTGGAAGAGTTAGTTCCTTCTGCTTTTTTCACCTTGCTAATATGATGGAGTTAGTTTTGCAGTTCACTGGATATGAGAACTAGGTCTTTTACTGCCAGCTACCTCCTCCTTTCCTGGGGCCACCTCTCCAAAGGGCAGCAGTACTAGCCCTCAGCTGCTTTGCAGGGACCACTTAGAGCTGGATACCTGTTCAAATAAAGGTAAATCTTTGCTCCTCATCTTTCTCCACAGAAGTGTGTTCGCTCTTTTAGGTGACTAGGAAGTTGAAGCTTTTTAAGCATATCCAAATGGTAAGTAAGTTGAAAGGACTTCTAGTACATGTCTGGGTTCAGCTCAGATCCATGTTCGCCAAGAGAACTGCACTCACAGAGTGCAACAGTTAAAAGCGTGAAACTCTGACGTCATACTGCCTTGGTTAGAATCCCAGATGCACCATTTACAAATTGTGTGGTCTTGGGCAAGTCACTTCACCTCTCTGTACTTCAGTATCCTTATCTGTACTGATAGGGCTTGAAATGAACCATAGGACTGTGGCTATGACTCAGCTCCAGAGAAAATTTAGTCATCAGAATAGACCCCTCCTCATGACTTTCTATATAGCCAGTAACAACAATCCTTGGCACCTACAGGACTCTGTACCTCAGCATGCTTCCTTCTGGGGCCTGCCTTACCTATTGCAATTTGAGAAAAGGAGGCCTGCCCTCCAATAAGCCTGTGTGCCTGTACAGAGGAAGGCAATGTGATGTGGGAGGGAGAAACTCACTGGCTGGCCATTATCAGAGACTGCGGGCTGACCCTTGAGCTCCAATGAGTCAGTCACTCAGGAGTCCTCAAGGATACGGATGAGGAGAAGAGCAGGGCAGTGAGCATGAGCACTGCCTGGCCTTGGTCTGAGACAGCTATGGAGAACTGTGGGCTGCATAAGGATGCAGAAAGAAAAGGAAGATATAGAAAAGGGTCTGGTTGAGATGGGGTGGTGGCCGGCGAGCTGAAACTAAGAACAAGTCAGCAGCCCCATAATTCCTCAGCAGCCTTTTCACTCCCATTTCAGATTACCCAGTACCAGGGGAGGTGATTCCAATTTTACAGGTAAAGAAAATGAAAAAAACAAATGGGTTTGGTGACTCACAGCTGGCTCAATTTTTATTTCCTTTGCACTGTTTTGTTTTTAATAAACAAGACTGAAAAATTAGATTCCATTTTTGGATTCATGTAGCCCTGCTCTGTCCTGCAAACAGCCCAGTAATTCACTACTGCAGCCATGAAGTACCAAAATACCTAATGGCCTCATTCCTAAGACCCCCACCACTTGTCCAAACAATATCAGCTGGATTGATTAAACTAGTGGCTGTATTACTGGCCATGCTGAATCATCATTGATTTTAGTTTCAACTGAATTAGCTATTGGTGATTTGTTTTTCTCTTCAGGCTGCTTGAGTTCAACAACTTAGGACAGGTAGTCTGATTCCATGGATTTTTTTCTCTGCTGTGGTTTCCATGTGTGCTTCTTGATTAGTTTGCAGCTCCTGCTGATTGACAGGTATGATGTCTATTTTTGAGCCCTATTTAGGTGGCTTTAGCCTAGCCCTGAGGCTTTCTACCTGACCTGAAAGGGCCCTGTCTCATCTGAGATAAACACACTGCCCTGTGTGTGATTTGAGAGTTGGAACATTTCAGACTACTGTGAAGGACCCAATGAATGGAGCTACTCATTCTCCAGTTCAACCTTGGTTCCTGCGACAGAGGAGCTGTCTAAAGTATGGGATGCCTGGGGCATCTTTCTCCATCAATAAGACAAGTATCCATGTTTGCAGACAACATGGAAACGTCCCTGCACAGCTATGATATTTTTAGTCATTTTCTCCGCAGAGACGAGACAACACATAAAACCAAGGGTAAGGAAGCAAGGTAAGGAAGCATGGCACCAAAATGACTGAATGTAGTCATCTGTTCACTACTCATCTTCTGTAACCTTTCATAGGAAGAGTGGAAATTGACAGGCTTAGAGGGGTGGGGGAAAGGCGGGAGCTGAGGTTGCAATCTCACAATTAATCATTTCCCCTGACCTCAGATCAATAGGTGGCTCTTGGTTACCCTGTAGCAATCCCAAAGAGCCTCAAGTCTAATAGCTCTTTGACATGTGACATGTCAGAGTTCCTCCTGTACAAAAACGGTACCTAAAGGAGGAAACTAAATTTTAATAGCATGTGTTAAATCTGCACAAACTTCACTCAGAGGAACTCTGTACAGCCACCAACTATGGGCAAAACACCAATACTTCTGTAACCCCTCAGTGCCTAGTGAGATGCTGCCTACACTTTGAGTACTTAGCCACTGAAGTGCAATATCCCTTTTGACTCCAACCTCTTCTTAGTCCCAGTTCTAGAAAATGGCTCAAAAGAAATCGATCATCAATCTCTTCCTGAGACGAGATTGCTATTTTATAAAGGGTGAAATTGTAGCATTGTATCTGGCTTTCATTTCCAATGGGTTACCCATGGAAGTGGTGCACTATTTAAAATTTAATTTCTAAATAACAGCATTCAATACAATTGCATCCTCCAATTTTTGAACATATTTCTCTAAGTAACTTACCCTGTAGACATCATGGCTGCCAACAATGGCATCAAAGAGTGTGTACATGTCATTGAGAGGATCTACCCCTCCCAACGGGCTCACTCATGGCTGAGATGGTGGTGAGGCACACAGTGTCACTGAAATGCAAGGTGACCAAGTCATAGCCCTCAGGTTCAACTGTGCAATCCCTTTTGAAGGATTCAGCAACTGATCTGAAAAGCAGACACAGCTATTCCTCAGGGGGCAAAAGTTCTCTTCCATACTACACCCACATCTGCAAGAACACAATTTCTCTGAACATCACTGCCACAGAAATGATGAGGAAGAAAATGTCACCTGGATGAAAACACTAATTCTTTCATTTATTCTACAAATATATATTAAGTGCTTACAATGTGCCAGGTGCTGGAATACAGCATTGAACAGACAGCCCTGGTTGATGCCTTTGTGGAGTTTTTTTCAGCTCTCTGTCGTCCTCCTTCCTTAGCCATCCCCCTACTCGAGGACCATTCCAATGTGGTTACCTTTGCATGAGACTAGTTTCCCCAAGTATCTCCTACAAGATCATGTTACAACATGAAAAGAAGCCTTGGAAAACTTGGAAATTGTAGCAACAGATAAAGCTTTCAACTAAGGGAGGAAATACCTAGAAAAACAACTCTGCTGCTTTTCTCTGGGAACTCAAAGAACTGCCTCCTTTTAATTGGTCAAATTCTAGATAAAGTCATGAAGTGACACATGGAAAAACCGAGGCAACAAAACTTAAATGACCAGCATGAGCCACACGTAGTGGAAAATTAGGAAGTGTGCTCCACTCCCTTGGTTTCCAATTCTACTTTCATTTTAAAGGTGTGACTCAAACCAACTGGAAGTAGAGAGGTGCAGGACAAGGGGAAGGAGCAGTTAGGTGATGGGCAGTTTTTGTCTATTTTTAATAGAACACACTGTGACAAGGATTCACACTCCTCAGGTGTTCACACATATGGTGGTAGCATCTGTGTTGGAAGCTTTTCCATTTTCTGTTTTTCAATTTCCAGCTCTTCAGTCCACTCCCAGATCAAATCTTCCAAGTTGCTAGAATATTGCTCCCACACCCAAAGCATGGAATCAATGATATTGGTCTTCTTCCCTTTATTGAAAATTTTAAACTGGAAGTAAAACAGAAAGAGGAGCCAGGGGATTCTTACTCCCCAAACTCAGAGGTGATGGAGCAGAACCCCTGATCACAAATCCCTTCCTCTAAAATGCCAGGGCATTTTAGGTGAACCCAGGTATAAATAGGAAAAGTCATCGCCCACCCCCATTGTCACCCTGGCCCTGTCACAGGGCTCTTTTTCTCTGAGTAGGTTTTCCCCTACCCTTCTTGTTCTTTCAAGTCTAAGCAAAGGTGCTCCTGGCAGGATCCTTCAGTGCTGAGGTGCTCTCACATGAATAGTAGTCACTGCAAAGGCAAAGGATTTGGTCTTGAGCCCAGAGCAGCTGTGAGTAGGGTAAGGAAAAAGAAGGCAGGGAGTGCTGTTTTACCCTTCTCAATCATCAACCTACTAAATCATCCTCGTCCTCTAATGCTACTAATGTCCAAAAAGTGTTGTCAGTTCTTGGACAGTGTGAGGTTCTCTGACTTCTTAAAAATGACCCAAGATCTACCCCTATTTCTTGCCATGGAGTCCAGGAATAATGATGTCCCCTAGCACATGTCCTTCCTATCAGCCAGGGTCAAGGAGAAGTTCAACTGGTCCTGCCCCCATCCTATGCCCTGTTCCTTTAGAGGTGGCTACATGCCACAGATTTTCAATATGCACTCCTGAGACTCTGTCCATCTACAGAGCCAGGGAGCTTGGCGTAGCCTTGGGACCATGAGGGGATAGCTCCTCCTTGCTGCTGTATTCAGCATGCACAGGGCTGTATTCTCAGCAATAAAAGACTGGTTTGCTGAGCAGACATCTAGGAATCTGTCCCAATGAACCCTTTTCTACAGCTGGGCCACACAGGCTCCACCGGGTACTCAGTGCCCCCAAGGTCAACACTAGGAGTTTCCTGCTAAGTCTGGTCCACATCTACATGTCCACCAAGTTCCTTCAGGTAATCTCAGGAGCCACTTCAGATGCTTTGAGCTCCCAATATTGCCTAGCCCTGGAAGCCTCCCTCTCCTGCTCTTCTCATGTAAGTGTTATTAGCTGCAGGAAGCTGGAAGGCTACCCTTGTCTTTCAGACAGTCCAAACTTGCACTGACGCATGTCAATAAGGGCAGCCCCAGCAATGTCTTGCTTAGAGGCCATATGACGTGCACTCCTTCTATCTATCACCAGCTTCTCTGCTGCCTTCTGAAATAACATCTCCAGCATCAACAACAAGGCAAATGCTTTTTCCCCTGCCTCATAGTAAGTTTTTAGAAATTTAACCTTCATGGTCCTTTGCCTTTTCATACTACCGAACACCTGTATGAGTGTCCTCAAGAAACCTAGCCAGGCTAATGGAGTCATTGTTAGCTGGGGACACGGATGACCTCATATGCAGGGCCCCTCAGGCTTTCAACCCAACTCTTTCTTTTTTCCGCCTCAGATACCTGCCACTCACAAAGCATCTCAGGGCTGTACTCCAGGCAGGCTCAAAACTCTCCGCCAGAGCTGACACAGCACTCACAGAGAGCACCCTCAGTTTCGGTATCCTGTAGTTTCAATGAAGCTCTGAACTGCATGCTCCGGCCTAGGACCCACACCTAACTCCCTCAGCAGGGCTCTCTCTGTCCTTTCCTCATTTCTCCTGTTCAGTCCCCAGTTCTAGAGAAAGAATTGGCCTTTTTAGAAATTCAACACTTGAGGAGAGACATTATCACTTTTTGTGCTCTCCATTGCCTCAAGTAGTTCCCTAGGAACCTAAGGCATCCCCTGCTTTTGTACTCCACATTTGTACTTTCTTCCATCTTGGACACCCTCTCAAACACCCCATATTTTTCCAGGCCCTCCAAAAACAACCTGGCATCACTTAAATCATATACTTCTCACAGTTCTATGGGGTCTCCAAAGCAAACACCACTCTATGAGGACCCTTGTTGATTCCATGATGCCTGTCTTCTAACTGTCTCAATGCCATTGCCTTGCAAATGACCAGGGGTTCAATTCTACCTTTGAAAGGTTGGTTAGATCAGACTGTAGATGGTCTGGAACAGAGGTTTAGATTCAGAAGAGTACCCAAACCAGCCTTTGTATGCCTGGGATGCACCAGCATCAAAGGCCTCCAAGTAGCCACTTCCATGCCTCTTTCCCAAGAGCGGTGCCTTCTTCTGGTGTGAGAAGTTCCTTCCACAATATGACAAAAAACCAAGGAGTCAGCTTGGGGTAGGCTGGCTTCTGAGCAGTGCTAAGATTCACAGAGTCCTTATCTGGTTAACTATTTCATCAAAAGTTGGTCGCTATTGTGCAGCCTCAGCCCAACACTGCTTCATCAGCCGAAGACATTCTGGAGGGACATACTCAGGAGGGACCACTGGTCGGTACACAGGAGGAAGTTTCTTGAGTCTGTCTATCATTTCCGTACAGAAGTAAGAAGAGAAACTTTTATAAATCAAGGAGAAAGCACCAAGATTTGGCAAAAAAAATAATTGAGTTTTAGATAAGAAAGGGGTTGGTCAGAAATAATCACAGAAAGGCCATCTCCTTTGCTTATTCTAGGTGGCCCAAATATAAATTGTATCTGAGCAAAGGATGCATCAGTCAACTAAGGAGGTGGTAAGAAATTTATCAAGTGATCTATTAGTACCATTTAGGCATAGCTTTATGTTGCTTCTGTGAGGTTTAGATGTGGCCGGCCTGATGTTAATTCTAATACTACACCTTAGATGATATGGCTCCCTTCCCCCACACCCAAATCAACTAAGTCTTCCAATCCCCACAGTAGACCCCTTTATTCCCCCTTAAGGTCCAGGCCCAGCCCAGGTCCAGGCTTTGGGCCCTGGCTGGCCACTAAGGAAAGGGAATTAAGAACTCCAGTAAACAGATCAGGGCCTCATCCAAATCCTCCTGGATGATGGTCCTTGAACTCCACTTTCAGTGGAATATTTACCATGTATCAGGCTGTGGGATAAGCACTTCAAATGAATTATTTTATTTGATTCTCATTACAAATCAATGAAGTAGGAATTCTCATTTTCATTTTACAGAAGGGAAAAGTGAGGCACAGAGAGTAATTGCTCAAAGTCCCATGGCTAGTAAGAGAATTTGAGTTTGACCCTAGGCAGTCTCCATCTGCTATACTGCCCTGATTCCAAATGCCTCAAACCTCAACTGTGAGTTCCTCAACTCCCTATTCCGACCCAAAAGCCATTAGTGATCAGAGGTCTAGATCAGTCAGACTGACTGTTTCACAAAGGGAGAAAACTCCCTAGAAGTAGGAGAAAATAGTTAGCCTTCAATGTTCCCAGCAACCTGCACTGGGACTCAAACTATTTTTCTCTGCTGCCAGCCTAGCCTTCTCCAAGCCATTCCCACACATGAATTTGGCCATGTTACTTTCTTGCTTAAAACCCTTTTGTGACTATTCATAACCCACAGGATAAAATCCAAGCCTTGATTTTTCTCTCCAGCTCATTCCTTATCCCTGGTCCTCTCCCCGTACCCCCAACTCTTCATCATGAAGCAAACCTTGCTCAGTCCACCAGTGGGCCCTTCCCACCCCTGCACTGGCTGTAACACTCTGACAGTACTGCTTCATCTATAATAGGAGTCTCCTTGATTCCATGAAAGAATTTCAGCTGTTGCCTCTAACTTCTCAGCTCTTTATGACATCAGACCTTCTACTCCTGTAACCCAGGGTGGCCTACAGCAGTAATGGTTTCCCCATTGTAGCACCCTGCTCTCAGTGCAATAGATATCATGCGAATTGACCCCTTGGAGTCCAACTAGCAGAGGGAGTTTTTGTCCTTTCTCAGAACACCATTGAGTTGAATGAGTCATCTCTCTGCTTAAGCCCAGCATGATTCATGTCCTTGAGGCACTCACAGTCCAACTGAGGAGATAAATAATGACCAACAATACAAGTGATCTAGCAGACACACACACAAGTGAATACAGAGGAGCACCTGACCCACTGAAGAGGTCAGAGAAGGCTTCCCAGAGGAGGTGACGTGAGTTGAATGAGGCAAGGTGAGGAGAAAGTGGGGACATTCTAGGTACTGTGAACAGCACATGTGAAGGCCCAGAGGTAGGAGAGACCATGGTGCTTTCAGGGCACTACTAGTCACGCCAGTCATGTTTAGCTGGAGTGTGGGCAGTGACAGAAGATAAGCCTAGAGAGGTGGCTAGGGGCCACTTGTGAAGACCCTTGTATGTCATGTGAGGAATCCGGGCTTCATGTAACAAATGATGGTGAATAATGGGGAGCTCTCAGTAGAGGAATAGTAGGGGACTCCAAGTGAGGCAAAGGATAGCTAAATATTTGGTGGGATTTTGTGTTGTTTTGTTTGCATTTCTAAAGTGTTTTAGTCCGAAATAAATTTATACTTCCAGAAGAGTCAGAAAAATAGAATACCAATTGCCTATATACCCTTCACTCAGCTTCCCCTAATGTTATATAACTTATATAACCGTAGTACAAAGAAAATTAATATTGCTTCAGTATCATTACTAACCTAGAGTCTTTATTTGAATTTCATCACTTTTCCCCTAATATCCTTTTTCTGTCCCACAGTCCAATTCAAGATCCCATATTGCATTTAATTGTTGTGTCTTAGGTTCCTCCAATCTATGATGGTTCCTCACTCTTTCCCTGTCTTTCATGACTTTGATACTTTTGATGAGTATTGGCCAATTATTCTGCAGCATGCCTCTCAGTTAGTGTGTGTGATACTTTCTCATAGTTAGATCAAAGGTTATGCACTTCTGGCAAGAATACCACAGAAGCAATGTGATGTCCTTCTCAATGCATCATGTCGGGGTACAGGACGATGTTGAGGTACCTTGATCACTCGGTTAAGGTGGTGTCTGAAGGATCCCCTACTCGTAAACTTACTATTTTTCCACTTGTAAGTATTAAATATCTAGCGCATTCATACTTTTTTAGAATGTGCAAATATTCTCTTTCCCCTCAAACTTTCGCCCACTGATTTTATCATTCATTGATGGATTGTGCCTGATGGCCAAACATTTTGATGGGAGATGAGAATGAAAGCCTGTGGCATGTCACAGGGAAGGTGTGGGAGGATGCTGACCTCCAGGAGCATCACGAGGGGTAGTGAAATACCTGACAGGGAGTGTCTCAAAGGAACAGAGGGGCTACTTTAAAAAAGGACTGACATAGGTCCTGTAGGCCCTTGGCTTGTCACAGCTTAGAAATGGATCAGCTTCTTGAGTGGGGGAATTTCTTTTAAATGCCTAAAGCTATCTGGCTCCAAGTCCCACCTGAACACAATAAGGGCTGCTTGCAGACTAGCAGGCAGTCAGCACAGCACATAACCATGTTCACTCTCCTGGCAAGTCACGACAGCCGGAGTTAGCCTAATGATCTGGGTCATGATGGGCCCCTGGCACCCTTTTCTCACCTCCCGCTTACCTCTGGCAGGCAGATCCATCATGCAGAGTGGGGTGCCCGTGGACCATCACTTCTTGCATGATGATGACAAAGCTATAGACGTCTCCTGCAAAGGAACCTAACCTGCTGCCCTTCGGGGCTCACAGCAGTTCAGGGGCCATCCACCATAACTCTGAAAAGAAAGCATTGTGTCATGAATGCAAGGAGGATTAACCGACAGCATTTGCAATGCCCTCATGGACTCCAAGGGGGCTGTTTCATTGACTGCTTTATATTTTTATTAGACAGACTGGCATGCTAGTGTCCTCCCCCCACAGGGTCTGAATTGCACACAGAGAGAGCATACCACTCTCCCCACCCCAGGACCACGAAAGCAGATACAGTACAGGTATGGGGACGGGCAAAATAGCTCTAAGTAAAAAAACTATCTGGTGCTTGCTTTCCTGCTCTCTTGAGCCTCCAGGTAGCAGCTGGCAGACTTCCAGAGAAAGGTAAGTGCACTACCATACTGGTTGCCATGGATTTGCTATTTGCTGAGATCTATATGTGTCTGGTAATGTGATTGCTCTGGGCCTCAGGAATTCACAAGTTGCTTCTCCAGGTCTTCTCTGAGGAGATTAAAGAATCCCCAGGCCTCGTCTGGTCCTTGCAGACCAAAAAAGGTGTAGCAGTTCTTACAACTCAGTTACGCGAAGATTTATTGAGGATCTACTATGTACCAGGCACTGTGAGAGGTGCAGGGGTGATGCCAGAGGTGAATTAGACCTTCTCTTTGCCCTCAGAGAGTTCACAGACCATAGGCAAACAGACATGTGTACCCCTAACCGCAATACAAGGGAGAGAGTGATGAGGGCCACTATACAGTGCAGGGAAATGAATCTATAACAACCCAAACAGAGCACCCACTGCATGCTCTGCTGCATTTCAGACCCCATGGCAGGGGTGAAAGATATTATCTCTGCTTTCAGAGAGTTATGGCAGTCAGAGACCCAGAAACTTTTGGAGTGAGCCACTTAAGCAAAACATAAAGAAATATACATTAATAATAAATAGTGCAGTCAAAAGATGGAGGGAGTGTTTTACATTGAACCATATGACATCACTGTTTCTGTAGTGCAAAAATAGTTGAACATTGACAATTCCTTAAGGATCAAACTAATAAAAAACATAGTTGAACAAATTAATCCAGGAAGGCTTCCTGGAAAAGTTAAACCTTAAAGTAGCTTGTTAAAAAGGTTGAGGATGCAGTTTCTTGGAGTGGAGAGGGTAAGGGCTTTGCAGGGAGAAAGAACAATATGTACAAAAAAACAAGAGGTAGAAAGGAGCAAATTGCAGATGGGGGTGGTGGTAAGCAGATTAGTTTGGCTGAAGAGATGGGCTCTGTTAAGAAATAATGAGAAATGAGAAATGGGGTTGATGAAGTGGGGGAGGGAGAATGGCTAGAAGAATGAGGGCAGAAGGTGAGAGGCCCTGAGAGCCAAATGAAGGCATTTGGAGTGAATACAAAAGGCAGTAGGGGTGCTGGAGTTGGCAAGGGATTTGATGAAAGCCGTGTTCGGGAAGATTAATCTGGCAACCTGCACAAGCTGGATTGAAGGAGAGAGGCTGGAGTCAGGGAGACCAGCTAGGAAGTTATTACAGTAAGAACTGGAAGCGAGGTGAAGGAGGCTTGATTGGGGGTGGGGGGTGGCAGCAGGACAGGGAGCCAGATACAGAGGAAAGCTGGGGACAGGCTCAATGTGCTCTGAAGGGGAGAAAGCTGGAGTAAACAACAGGTGGACGTCCAGGTCCAGATAGGGAGGCTGGAGAAGAATATCTGCTGAGGGTAGGGGTGGCAAGGGGAAGTACTGCCTAACTTTTCATCTTGTGAAATTTGGGGCATTGGGAAGGGCAGCCCAGGAGACAAGCTCCTGTGAAGCAGGAAGGAGGATGAAAGGTTGGAGATAGTGTTGGTTTGTTAGTGAAACCCAGGAAAGAGAAACTCACCTATTTTCAGCCAACCCTGATTGAAATGCTGCAACAGGGAATTTGAGCCTCTCCCAGTCATGTACTCATCCTCTGTCTTTGTCCTCCAGGTGTTTCCAGCCTTTGTCCCCCATCCCCCACTCCCTCACTCCCCACACCATGAAAGTGTCTAATACACTCCCTGTGGTGGGTTTTGCTTATATATCTCCTTTGCCTATGAGGACTGATATTTGCAAATAAAACTGAAAAGACTGAGTGATACTTTAGTCAAATGAATACATTGCTGATCGTGGGATTTCAGGCATATGGTTTTGTGGGGAAGGCAGGGTGGATATTTGTGAGCAGGGAAAATGGTAGGCAGCTTCTTCTTCCTAGTATCCTTTCTCTCTGTACATTTAAAAGCACAAGAAGGGAACAGAGGACAAAACTCACTGGTAAAAAGCTAAATGATTAAATACAATCATTACCAAATAGAATTTTCAGAGAGCACTTACATGTATGTTGTTAATGGCTAAAAATGAGACTTTATCTGCACTATACTTATAAAATTGAGAGTGGACAATAATGAATATACTTACAATCCACTCCCATTTCCCCATCCCCACTCCAGAGCCAAGTAAGAGCCACTACCTAACATTAGATTTGAACCCTCAGGAAAACTAGAAAAATTACTTTGGCTGGTTTTGTATCTGCTGGAACCAGTGCTAATTCTGAGCCTTGTTGTGGTGATAAATGCAATGTTGGAGAGCCAGTGTGGTGTAGTGCAAAAGAACACAGAGCTGCAAGTCAAGAGACCTGGGTTCAAAATCTCACCTTAGTCCCTAATTAGCTCATCTTACTGAACTTCAGTTTCCCCACACGTAAAACGGAAGTAGAGCCGGATGATCTCTGTGGGCCTTCCAATGATAAGATTCTATTAGCTCTGTCACCTAGTGGGGAGGAGCAAGTTTCTTTATTCCATTTCATTTCATTCATCCATTGATTTGACAAGCATTTATTCTGCCAGGTATTGTGAAAGATGCTGGGGAAGGCCAACGTGTTTCTTGCCTTCATAGAGCTTAAAGTTTGGCTAGGGAGAGAGACGGCTAATTAAACATGCAATACCAACAAAGTCTGGCCTTACAAAAAAGTTCAGTGCCCTAAGGGATCAAAAAGGAGGGAACTTAACCAAGCACAGGGGGTCATGGAAAGCTTTTGTATTGGTGCAATTTAAGTTGAGCCTTGAAGATAGAGTATAATCTAGCCAGGCTCACAGGAGTGTACTACAGAGTGGAAAGGGAAGAGGGTGCCAAGCAGGGCACAGTATGTGTGAAGGTCTAGAAGTAAGAAAGCCTGGTATAAATAAACAACTGGAAGGAGTTCAGCACTACTGGTGCATAGAAGATGGAGGGGAAGTTGTTAAGCATGGCAAGTCCAGTCCACAATGCCCAGACCTCACAGGGCTCATACCCCATGCAAAGGAATTTGAACTTTATCTTCAGAGCAATGGGAAGCCATTCAATGACTTTTGGCATAGCTGTCACATGATCAGATTTTCGGTTTAGAATACTCTGTCCGGCTGCAGTGTGTGAAGAATGGATTGAGCATCCAGACTGCCATTGCAATTTGGAGAGTGAACTGAAATGGTAGGAAGAGAGACACGAAAGGACAGGTACAGTCCACAAAACACACCCACACACTCTGCAGCTATCCTTGCTGCACTCTAAGACCAGAGTTTTTCACTTTTGGAAATTGCCAACTTGTGTATTGAATGGAAGTCTGGGAAGTTGGCCATTGTGTTTTATCTTGTATAGATGACTAATTATGACAGGAAGCTTGCCCCTCTGCAGCTGTTGTCCCAACATCCTAGAACTAATGCCAGGCAACTACTCCCAGCTTTCAAATTGGAATTAGCCAAATAACTATACAATTATGTTGGCAACCAGAACAGGTCCATAGAAAGAGAGGGGGAGAGAAAGAGAGAAAGAGAGAGAGAGAGAGAATCAATACCACATGTCTTTAATTCAGATTACCAGGAACTTCAAGTCCTCCAAAGCTGGATGTGCACAGAAAGAGGGAATTGTTATTATATAAGCTTTATAATTTTGCTGGGTTTGGGGCTAGTCTTCAGAAGACCTAAATTGAATTCATGGAACCGCTACTAAGTAGCTTCATGATTTGGGCAAATCTTGAGCCTCAGTTATCTTATCTGTAAAATGAGAGAGTTGGACACGACTCCCTAAAATGTAATATTCCATCAGTTTTGTAAAGCATTAAGATGATGTTGCTGATGACTAGGCTGTCTGTCTCTCTCAGTGCCTGTCTCTCTGTCATTCCTTCTGTGCTTCTCCTATGCAGCGAAGTAAGCAGCTTTAAAATTTATAATGCCAAAAATCCTTTTAAGAACATAAGTATATATTATAATTTTGCATCTTTCCCTCTGTCTGTCTTTGGGGTTGTCTGTTTCTCTCTGTGTGTGTGTGTGTGTGTGTGTGTGTGTGTGTGTGTGACTCTCTTCTTTGCCTTTGCAATACTGGTAAAAACTTATAGTGCCCATGTTTCCTATACATATTAAGCCTTTTTCATTCTCTCACCTTACTCTTTCTCTTTCTTCCATAAATTCATTCCCTCCGGGTTCTCACTCACCCACTCCCATTCCCTAGCTCAGAGTTCTCTGATTTCTTTGATCTGTTATGACCTCTACAGGCATTGTTTGGTGCTGCCACTAGTGCACTAAACAGAACACAAAAAGATAAAATGGACGTTTCAGGCATGCCTACTTATTTCCTCAAAGGCCATTATTCTGTCTGAAACCATCCCACACAACCCACAAAGCATTTACTTGTGAGGGGCGGGGTGGGGGGCTCCTTGCTCATTCCTTTCTGACAGAGACAGTGAGGGTAGGCTCTAGTGACATCCCATGCCAAAATGTGCTTCGTGGGGGTCCAGCTACCAAATTATCTTCCATTCAATCTGACAAGTATTTATTGAGCACCTACTGTGTGCCTAACGCTCAGCAAGTTCCTCCAGAGACTCCTGGGGTCTCCAAACAATACGGCCTAATCCCACCACAGCAGGAAGTCCACATTATTGCACTGGCTTTGTTCACTAGATTTAGGCTGTGCTGAGATTACAGCCTTCAGACTTCATTCAACTCCCTTGGCTTGGAAATGAGGCCGAATTTTCAACAAAAGTAGGTAGCTGAATCAGCCCAAGGCTTTAATTCACTGCATATACTCATTTGAATATTGGAGTTACCTTGTATGCATCAGAAGGGTATATAATACATTGCTTACCGTCCACAGAAGTTTCCTCTTGGAAGAGCCTTGGCATTTCCAAGATGTCATGAAAGCCATAATCTGTCACTTTTAGTACAAAACGCCCATCTACCACACAGTTCCGAGACTTCAGCCTCCCGTGAGCAAATACTCTGTGGTGTAAGTACTTCATGCCCTGCAGATAATACAAACAGGATTTATTTAACAAAACTATTTTGTGATTTTGAGCCACTTTCTGAGCTTGCTATGGCATGAGCTATTATGATCCACATTCAGCCTTTTTCTTTTATATGCAGGCAAAGCGAAACCCTAATAAGAATCATTTCCAGGTCCCTTCTACCTCTAAAATGTTATGCTTTGATGAAGAACTGTATCTTGCATGTATAGAGAATTGTGTGTTACCGGGAGATTCATTGAGTTTCAAACACAGGATGGATACATACATATATAATTGCCAGTAATTTGAAGATTCTGATTTTTCCCCAAAAGGCCTAGCCCAACTCTCATCCACTATTGGCAGGAATGGAAACTGGCACAGTCTTTTGGGTAGGCAACCTGGCAATAGCTATCATATTGAATGGATGCATACCCTGTGGCCTAGGGCTCCTACTTCTCTTCCAAAGGAACGCTTACACATCTGCACAAGGAGACATATACAAGAACACTTACTGCAGCTTTCCTTTATAATATTACATAATCAGAAATTCCATATATCTCTATCAAAAAGGGACTGTCCAAATTGTGGTACATCCAAACTATGGAATATTCTGCAACAGTTAAATATGATTAGATCTGTATGTACTTACTGATAGGAAACCATCTCTAAGTGATAAAGTGAAAAACAGTAAGTTACAGAACTATGAGACAGTATGTATTTTACAAAACAAACAAATCTATAATATATATAAATACATATGACATAACTTGCAAAACTAATCAACAAATTCTTTGAAGTGGTTAACACTGGGGGAGGACATGAAGGAAGATTTAGTAAATGTCAGTATTTTGTCATATATATTTATATCATTTGATTTTTAAATTTAATTTAGTGTGCCAGCTTTGTGATTAAAAATAGACAATAAAAAAAGAAGAAAGCTGAATACTACTGATCTCTGCAGCTTGCTTGGTGACCTTTATATGATATTCAAATGTGATCTACCAGGACTCCTATCAGATGGGTTTAATCATTCACATATAAATACATCCATATTCTAGTGCAATCATCTCAGAACTGTTTATGCTGAGCTCTTTTAAGTATCTGGCTGTATTTTGCAGCCTGACACTCTCTTGTATTTGTATGCTTTATATATTGTGCCCTCAGAAAGTCTGCAGTGCCCAGTAATTCCAACCAGAGTCTTCAGTGGATGAGATTTCCCCCAGGTTGTCTAATGCTTGCATTTCATTCATCATGGGCCTGAGAGGACTGCCATTTAGAAGCTTCTCCCCTAACTCATGGGATCTTGCTTACAGGGTGACTGAAGAGCTACCAGAAAAATCAATGAGAAGACTTAGATTCATTATCAGTTCTGTAACTTAATACATGGCTGATAAATATTTATTGAGTACCTACTACATGTGGCATACACTATATAACAAAGTGTACCTCATTTAGCTTCTCTGGGCCTCTGTAAAAGGGAACTAATCACAATTTGTGGAGAATTGGAATGATATCATGTCTATAAGCTACCTTGAAAAGGGTTCAGCCACAGTACAAAGGTCAAGACTATGGTCAATATGAAGGAACTTCAACAAGTTTCATTGATCATTCAGATCAGCCTCATAAAAATGCATGTTGACACAATTTGCATATAATTCCAGGGAGTTCATGGACTTCCCTGAGGCCCATCCATAGGCCCATCCATGAGTCTCCTTGACTATCAATAGTCCTTGCCTTAGAGAATGGAGGTGCTGCCTAACAGACTCAATGATCTTTGGATTTTCTGGTCATGGTGAGTTTAATATTTATACCCATGGTATGCAAAGACCCATCACCTAGTTCTATACTGAACCACCTTTTAGAAGGTGAACACCAGGTGATGGAGCTAAGCAGCACCAAAGAATCTGGGAATGAGCACTTTCCCACATCCAAGAAGCAGAGAAATGGAATGGAGAAAAGGACTGCTTAAGGCAAACAGTGTTCAATGGCAACAGGAAATAAAGATAAATCTGGCCTTCAAAAGGGGAGAGGAGTAAGTCCTTCGGGTGTCAGTACCTTATAACAGATACGGACAAAAGGACCATGAGGAAGGAGTGGGAACAAAACCTCAGAAGGAAGATGGAGGAGTGAGATCATCACAGTGATCGAGAAAAATAAAACATCCCAAAACATTTAAATTCTAATCTATAGGGAAAATCCAAGATTTCTTCAGTCTTTCCATTAATCTGATAAGATCCACCAGGAGGGGTGATCTAAACATCCAGTGAAGTTTTACATCCTAATTTGTCAGTGTATCGTCTAGGCTCCCTTGGGAACAGAATTCTGTCACAATGGCAAACATCCCTGAAGAAGCCCAATGAAGGGTTAATAGTCTCATGATGAAGGTCCTTCATGTAGAAATGGAAGGAGAGAGGAGAGTCACAACTGTCCTGTCCCAACTGAGGACCAGAGCTTAGGACACATGCCTTTCTCTTCACCCTTCTTACAGTTGGTGGCCATGGTAAGCAGAATTTTGACCCCCATGATCTTCAACCTTGTACAAAAAATGGAAATTTCATAGCCAGGATTCTCACCTAATTCTAATATTGCCCACTGTATACAGACAATGAGGTAGTGCTTGGCCTACTACACAGGTGTATGCTTGTATACCCATTGGCAATAAGCCATTACTGCCAGTACTGATATAATTAGAGTTCAGCCTGGTTGTAGGGGCAGAGGGAAGCAGGAGAGCAGAGCTTAGGGAAGAGAGTAGAGACTGGGGGGCCTGGAGCCTAAGCAGAGGCTGGAGCCAGGGGCAGAGACAGAGATGAGCTTGCCACTTATAGAGCCAGGTGACTGCCATAAGAATAATGTTTAGTATGAGTCCCTCTTTACCTGCAATGTTCCATTGTCGTTACTTGTCTCACCAAATCCATAATGAACTTGCCTGGAGCTGGGAGACCCCTCCCTTGGAACTACAGTTTTTATGGAAGCTTCCTCACATAGGGATGACTGATTAAATGATTAGCTGTTGGTGATTGATTCAACATCTAGCCCCTCTCACCTCCCCAGTGGTCAGGGGATGGGACTTAAAGTTCCAACCTTCTTATCATATGGTTGGTTCTCCTGGCTACCAGCTCCTATTCTTAAGTACAGTCCAAAAGTCACCTCATTAACATATCAAAAGACACCTTTAGCACTTTCATCACTTAGGAAATTCCAAGAGTTTTAGAAGCTCTGTGCCAGAAATGGGGACAAAGACCAAAGATCAAATATATATTTCTTATTATAAATCACAATATCACAGGTAGTGATAGAAAATAAATGCAATGGTCAGAGGGAGATTTCAGAGAAGAATCTGCCTCAGCATATTGTAAGTGAATGCTGGAGCTGTGGCCTTCTTCCTGATTCTTTGTGGACCCTGTGGAATGGAGCTTATAACCCAGGAGATCTAGAGACTACAGTAAAAGGTAGAATAGATTGTCTTTCTGTGAATATTCATATACCCAGCATCTGTTAAAATAAATAGCCTATGTAACAACTGGCCAAAGCCTACATTTGTTTTAGAAGAAACATCTAGAATTTTTATTGCATTTGTCCTTTGCATCCATTAATTTTTTTCACTAATACAAGAAGTCTTTAGTGTATGCCCACAATGTCCAAGGCACTGAACTGCATGCTAGAGATACAGAAATAAAGTGAAATCACTGCCATGAAGGACCTTCCACTCAAAGAGGGATAGTAGACAAGAAAACCAATGGCTGTACTTCAACTGTGAAATGTGTTCTTATGAGAGGGAGCGTGAGATGCTGGGGGAGATCAGATGTTAAGTATCTGCGCCCTGCAGTATCAGAGAAGGCTTCCCTGAGGAGGTAATGTCTGGACTATCATGAAAGACAAGTAAGAACTGACCAGGTGATGGTAACGGAGGTAAAGGGGCTGAGAGTGAGAGTGTGCCATATTAGGGAAACAGCAAAAGGCTTAAGGAGGCCAGAACAGAGTTCAAGAGAAACAATGTGAGACACTAGGCTGGAGAAATGGACAAGAGCCACAGTCCATGGGGCTTTGAGTACCTTGTTATGGAATTTGAATTTTATATTCTGGCACTCAATAATTATAATCTATTATTATTACTATTTAATGGGGGATGAGCAAGAAAAGGGCTCCGTTATCACTTCCAGATTTCGATTCCTAGGTAGACAGCAGTGTTGTACATCAATATAGGCATTGAGGAAAGGTGTAGTAGTAGATATACTGATGTCCCACCCATAACTCTTTTATCATGCATCCCCCAGCTGCTGTGAATGTTGGCTCATAACTCACAGCTGCTCTATTCTGGGGAAAATTGTCCTAGAGCCCAAGCCAAAGGGGATCCACCTTACCTGAAAGGTTAGCTTCCACCCACAGACCTCAGCCAATGACTATACAACTGGGAATGGTACAAAAGTCCAACTTCCCAGCCTCAAGATGGGACTCATGGTACAACTTTCACTCCAACATTGTTCCCATGAGATCATACTGAAGCTAGATTCCAAGCTGAGATCACATACTTGCTGAGCTTGTACTTCTGTTCTATCCTGCTTCCCTCACTCCCTTTATCCTGGAGCATTCTCTCAATGTGTAATTTGAACAAGAATCTCCATCTCAGTCTCAGCTTTTAGAGAATCTGACCTAAGACAGATGGGGAAGCAAATTTTTGGTGGTGGGGAAGGCTAATTAATTCAGTTTGGGACATATTAAGAATGAGGTGCCTGTGGGACAACAGGGTGACGCTATTCCAAAAACAGTTGGATATTCAGGGTATGAAGCTTGAGAAAGAAGTCCAAGCTGGATAAATAGATGTGGGAATTGTAAGCATATGAATGGTAGATGAAATTAATGGGGGTAAACAAGACAACCCAAGGAAAGCGTATAAAACAAAAAGAAAAGAAGGAAATAGATGGGAAAAGGAAAAACATCCTGCATAAAGACTTGGAAATGAGGCCAAAGAAGTGGAGAAAAGCCTATTTAGAAAACATTATGAATACCACAGGAAGACTTTCAGTAAAGTGAAATAAATGCCAGAAAGAATTTCAGAGAACTGTGATAAATACTAGAGAGGTCAAGTAAAATGAAGACAGAAATGTATCTGGTGAATTTGACCATTAAGGAATTATTAATTACATAAACTTATCCTATAAATATGTTTACACAGATATACAAATGTATATATAGATTTAGAACGGTAGCAATCTGAAGGAACAGAAATTGGAAGATCTGAGATATGTTTTGGAGCTATAAATCACAAGCTTGTTCATGTGAGAACTATGGGAAAAGATGACACCAAAGATTATTCTATTTTGAGCATTGAAAGTATGGTGGGCCGTTTATTCAGATGGGGCACTCTGGCTTGGAATATGAGCCCAATTCTCCAACAAGTGATCCAAACTGAGGTTAAATTATCCCTGGTGTGAATGGCAGCTATTAATCACCAAAGCTGCCTTCTAAGCATAAAGGCTTGGCACCCATGGCAATTTTTTTAGTCCAATGAAGCCTAAACCAGCTAAGGCAGACATGGAAATTCACATAGTAAAATGGACACCTTCCTCTAAGGTTTCATTGTATCACCTTTTATGGACCAAGCAGCCAAAACTACTGGGCTCTGAATCTCTGTTGGAAGAGAAACACTAAGTCTTTATGTTAGAAACTGCTGGCTATTCAACACAAATCTATTTCCTTTTCATAGTGGGAAAACAACTAACCCACATTTTCTAGCTTCCCTTGGAGTTAAGTGTAGCCATATAATTGAATTCTAAGCAATGGAATGTAAGATGAAGTGATATGAGCCCTTTCTAAGCTGAAGCTTTTAAGAAGCAAATATACACCTTCTATGTTTTTTTTCCACTTCTATAAATAAATTATGATGATGCCAAAGCCCTAGGAGATAGAAGAGCCATAAGATAGTCATTTCCTGAGTCCCTGAGTCACTATATTGGAAAAGAGTCACTTGCCAACCAAGAACACATCTATCTTGTATTGTTATTTGGATGAGAATTAAACTTCTGCTGTGTTTGGGACGTTAAATATTTGGGGATCTGTTTGTGACAGCATCTAGTTTTACACTAGCAGCCCTAGCAATGGAAAAATTTCAGGCCCTAGCATGGAAATACTTCAGGCCTAGATTTTCCCTAGATCTTTACAGTCATATGTCCTCAGCTACAACCAATAGAGAGGAGCCCATATATGAAGCAGATAGATACCTGCATGCAGTCATGTCCTGTTGACATTCTGGACAACCCCAGGAAGCAGAGAATATTTTGCACACCTGCCTTAGCAAGATAGCCATCTGAATATTTATTGGATAGGCATGTACTTCACCCCTTCCATAGTATCTCCCCAGTTGGTTACCATCAGATGTTCAAAACTGAATGTGTCCTGTCTCCAAACAGTTTTGTTCGTGCTATATCTGACATGAAACCTTTAAGCATACAATCTGCTTCTGAGTCAAACAGTAGCTTAAGTGATCTTAAAGACAGCCTCATCCACTTGAAAATGTTTCTGGCACATCATAACATCAGAATAATCCCTACTTGCACAACAGCTGCAACACCATCCTATAGGTGAGTATGGACTCTTTGAAAATTTAATTATCTACATCAGTGCCTGCCCCTAACTATATCAGCCATTGTTACCTATTTTGGCAGTATAGTTTTCTACCTCCATGAACTAAACAGTACTCACACCTGTTTCCTTTGTTTTGTTTTGTTTTAGACACAAGGCCTCCTATTCTTGTGTCACCCTATTCACTCTCTACCACCCAGAGATCAATGGTCATATAGAACATATTAACCAGGTACTAGTGAAAGAGTTCTGTTGCTATATTTCCCACCAGCAGTACTCATTCATTTAACAAACATGTATTGAGAACCTTTCTATATGCTGGGCACTAAGCTAAGGTACTGATGACAAATGATGAACAAAATATTATATTACATGGTCCCTGACCTCTTATTTTAATCAAATAATTACATGAATAAACATAAACTTGCAACTCTGATAAGTCTTATGAAGGAGAGCTACATAATGTGAGTATGTATAATTGGGGCTTTGACTAATCAGAGGTTGGGGGAAGATACCTGAGAAGTCACAACTGAGCTGGGAGTTAAAACATAGTGGAGTTAATCAGGCAAAGAAGGGAGAGGAATACATTCCAGAGGTTGTGATAGCATGTGAAAAGGCTCTGTGCTAGGAGCATATCACAATCTAAGGACTGAAAAGAAGGCAGTGTGATTGGAGCAGAAAGGAAATACTATGGTGTGAGATAAGGCTAAAGACTCAATATTCTTAAATTGTCCATTTTCCCTAAATTGATTTATAAATTCATACAACCCCCATCAAAAATTCCAGAATTCTATTGAAGTAATATACAAACTGA